TCTAGATTTATTAATCATGACTTGTACTAGGGGCACAATTTCTCCTGTTATCTGAGAAATTATTTCTGATTTCATTTTTTCCAGATCCCCTTTTGTTGCCAGTTCAGTGGGTCCAGGTGGTTGAGTATCAATGTGTTCCATCTCATTTCCCTTTGGGGTTGCTGTAGGTGATATGGATATCTGGTTTTGAGACTTACTTACATGTTTTCTCATTTCGACTGGGGTGGGGGCTTAGCGCCTGCACGGATTACCTCCTCTGAGCTGGGTGAGATGGGGCAGGGGCCGGGAGCACCGATAGGGATGGTGATCCAAAAGCCCTTTCTTTTAGGCTGGGAGCAGCCGGAGCGATGGTGGCTGGGAATCCCCTTCCTCTGGACCAGGAGCAGTGGGATGGCAGCTCAGAAGCCCCTCCCTCTGGGCCAGGAGCAGTGGGACAGAAGGTGGCCCAAAAGCCCTTTCCTCTGGGCTGGGAGCAGCAGGAGGGATGGTGACCAGGAAGTCCCTTCCACTGGGCCAGGAACAACGGGACTCAGTACCTTGGTCTGTTGGTCTGGTGTCCTCTCTGTCTTTGTAGTGTGGAATCAGGTGGCTGGCTGCCTGTCTGCAGTGGCGTGATTCGGTGTCTTCCGTGTGACTCAGGACCTCGGTAGGGCATGCACAGACCTGCCTGTCTGCAGCAGGCTGATTCGGCGTGTGTTCCATGCGACTGGGGACCTCGGTAGGGTGTGGGCAGACCTGCCTGTGAGGAGAGCATTATATGTATATATTTGGAACCATATTTAGTCTATATGCTATAAAATTAACATGTGTTTTGTTTAATTTTTAGAGGAAGAAGAAAAAAATAGAAAGTATTCTCCTGAAGAAATTCAGAGAAAAAGGCAAGAAGCATTGGTTCGAAGAATGGCCAAAGCTCAGGCATCATCTGTAAATTCAGCTCCCATTCAGTTTCTTCAATGAAATATTAGCTGTAAGATAAAAACTGTTAATTAACTATCTATGATAGCAAGTATTCTTTTATATTTCTCTGTGAGAAACAGTGCTAACTTACAAAGCATGGACTTCTGCTTTAGTATTAAATCAGTGTTTGCAATGATAAATGAAACTTTGGAGATATATGTGAAAGTAATTATAAGTAGTAGAAATTCAGGAACACTAAGAATTATGTAATAAAATTATGCACAAGAATGTAGTTGTATTTTTAAATCTTATGCATGCAGAGAACCACCCAACAAATAAGTAATTTACCTAATTTTCTGTTGTAATGCCTTTTCCTAATACAGAGCTTCAACTTCTAAGTTAATAGAGATTACTTTTATAGTTTTATTTTCAGTAGCTGTTGCTTAAGGTTTTCATACATTTCCAATTTTTGATTAATACTTCCATTATCCTAGGAACATGCTTGGTAGGAAATGAGAACTTCAGTTTTATTTGTAAGGAAATTATTATTTTCAGTTCTTAGTCAAAGTAGATTTGAATTTTAGTATTTCTAAACTGGGTTTGGAAACTACCATTTTTAGGAAAAACATTGGTTAAGGAAGTCTAGGAAAAGAATGGTGAATTAGCTATATTTGATAAGTAATTTAGTGTCATTAATGTTTAGAACTGGCAGAAATTTAAATATCTGATCTACATTATTGTATGGATGAGAAAAATTACCACTGTTATTTTCAAAGTCACAGACAAATTAAAGCTTTACTTGTATTAGAGTGCTCTCTTTGAATACCTAAATTGTTAATACCATTTGCCTCAAAGTAGTAGTCTATAAAATAATTTGAGGGGACATTAATTATTTTACACCATAAAGAATATAATTAAAAGCACATGAAGGACTATTTAACAGCAATGCTTATTGTTCCTTGCCTTAAAGAATGAATCTCTCCAGGATATATGAATGAGCTTTTTCTTTTCAGTATTTCTGTAACTGCGGTTTTCTTCCCAAGTAATTAGCTTTACCAGCCGCCCCCCCCTTTTTTTTTGTCCTTTTTGCCTTTTTGGAATTTGTTGTGCCAATAATAGCAGTAGACTTTAGGAGACCCGAGGGAGGTTACAGATATGAAATACATTGGTGTGATTTTCTCCACTATTCAAGTGTTTTAGAACTATGATGACGTGGTAGCTATTGCTCTTCAAGTGTGTATCATTTTGTAAATGGTGTAGTATTTTTGTATATAGAATAACATTTTAAGTAACTTAAATTATTTGTCTAAAAATATATAATGCAGCTAAGTTTATAGTTAAAATGAAGAGATCTCTTTTTCTGAAGTAGCTTCACTGTATTTTGACTAAGCCTTTGAATATCTGTGAATGAATTTAGACAAATTCTTGTTGCCCCACTTGAATCAGTTTGACTCTGATTCCCTGAAGTTTAGGGTTGCAAAATGTTTCTAGCAATGATTTAAATTTAGTTTAACACTGAGTAGTATGGATGATAATTTATTTAAAATCTGACTTATGATTTTCAGTTACTGTTGCCAGTATAATAATCACTTGTGGGATTCAAACACAAAACACCAAACTTATCTTTGTGCCTATTTGGATTTCACAAATGAGTACATATAGGGATTTTTGAGGTGTGCCTCCTTTTAAAATCCATTGGATAATAAGGAAATCGTAATTAGTAAACTTAACATTGGTAAATGTTTTATTTTCTAGGAATGGTTTTAAGCACTTTATATATTGAACTCATTTACTTTTCAAAACAACCATGCAGAATAATGCTTTTACTCCTATCATACAAGTAGGAACAGTAAACGATAACTTTCTTAAAATTACACAATTAGAAACAAGTTGGAGCTGAAGTTTGAACTCAAGTAGTGTAATACCAAAGATTGTGATTTTTTTTTTTTGAAGATGCAGATTAGAGTTTATTAAATCAAGACTGGAGAAAGTACAGCACAAATAGAAGTATGCAGCACCCAAGCTGAACTAAATCTAAGATTTCTGAAAAATATCTGCTAATTCCACAACTGGCCAATTCCTGGCCTAATGGCACAATACCCTCTCAGAAAAGAGAACGGAATAAGTCTTGGTTGAGTTTTGGAATGATCTCTGTAGTTTTTAAAGGCTCATTGTTGAGTCTTCATAGTGGATGCAGCTACAACTAGCAAGATGGCTGTGACTCCAAAGCCCTGGGCAGTGATTCTGATTCATTTCAGGGGCTGGGAGTTCTACTTGAGTCCTGGATGGAGCAGTAAAGGACACAGGCAAGGGCAACCTCTGTGTCTTAAGCAGCTTGTCACTACCATTGGATTCTCACAGGTCTTTGAAAGGAACTTTGTCTTGAAGATTATGTTCAGGTAGACACTGAAGCTAAGGTTTTCAGTGACCAAGGACTGCATTGAGAGTCACAGGGCCAGAAGTTACCATTTGGGATCAATACAAGTATGAGAAAAACCCCAGAATTGTGTTGGACAGGAGGACAATACTGAGGATGGAACCTAGGACCTGTACACTAAGCAAAGCTCTTGTTTTTTGTTTTGAGACAGGATCTTGCTCTGTTGTTTGGGCTGGACTCAAACTTGCAATCCTCTCTCTCAGAGGGTTAGGACTGCAAGCATGTGCCACCACACCAGGCTGTGATTTTAAATATTGATTATACTGTCATCTGTGGAAACAGTTTGTAACAAGTGATCTGTGGAAATTATACAGCAAAATATTAAAGGATTTCACTCATTTGTGCCAGAAATTTCACAAGTATTCTTTAGATCGCTTAATTTTCTAACTCAAGAATTGTTTTACTTTTCTAATTAGTGTTGCAAATGACTGCTATACTTTGTTTGGATGGGTGAATGCTGATTATAGGAATGTACATATACATAGAAGTTGCCTTTTTTCATTCAGCTGTTAGTATAGGGAATAAAATGCAGTTATTTTTAATTGTCTTCATTACCTCATTATTTTAGTAACCTCTGGATGTTGTGGTTTTAAATATTGAGGACAAACTCATTTCCTAGTCCAAAATATGATATACCTCAGTGGTGGTGAATCTATAGCATGTGTGCTGCAGCTGGCTATTTCTATTACTGAAAGCTTCCAAAAGGTACACACTGATATACCTCAAGCTAGTAAAACTCCAAGGTTGGTAGTAAAGTTAATGTTTCTTTTTAGATGTATAATATAGAGAATAGTGGCATTCAAATAGTTTATAGGCCTTTTTATACTCTTCTAAGTTGAAGTCTCAAACTTGCTTATGTTCATTCTCTATGTTCATAGTTACATATTAGAAGTGATGCTTCTTGGTACATTTAAAAATAATGATAATATCACATGACCACACACTTTATGAAAATATTTTCTAAGAAACTTGTGAAAAAATTACCATTTCTATTTTTGTTAAGTCTTTGATATGTGACTTTATATCATATAGCTAGATTCTTAAATATATTTCTACATTTAATTTGTTACAATATGTTGCTATAGTTGAAATACATGAAGAAAGTTCAGTCTCACACAGATATGTACTGTAGTTGGGAAAGGAAGAAATACAATATTCTTTTCAGGTAACTATGGATATTCTTTGATAGTACACTAAAATTTGAAAAGTGGTAGTTTCTTAAAGGTTCCAAGAAGGAATAACAAAGACTGCATGTTACAGTACGGCTCTGATTGAAACAACCAGATAGAAAAAAGAAAAACTGGATTTCAAAACAGGACATCAAGAGATTAGGAAAGTAGTAATATGGGTCAACATAAATCATAAGCACCAGAAATGATAAACACTATCATAGAATTTTTAATAGTTACTGAAATCCCTTTAGAAGATAGTTGGTAAAATACATGGCAATAGCATGATGGTGAGGAGAGAAAGGAGTTGATATTTCTTATTTTGTGCTCTTAACATGCTTGAGTCAGTCCCCCAACACTTCACATTTCTGGGGTTTTTTTGTTCTGTTTATTTTGGTACTGGAAGTTGAACCCAGGGCCTTCACACTGAGGTATATTGCCAGCCCTTTTGTTTATTTCAGACAGTATTGCTGAATTGCCAAAGCTAGGCTCCGGTTTGGAATCCTGCCTCAAGCCTCCAGGAATGCTAGGATTACAGGCATGCGCCATTTCTTCCACTTTAGCATTTCTACTTACACAAGTGTAGTAGGATTCTCCAGAGAAACAATCAATAGGCAGTATGTACAATATTACTGACTTACGTGATCAGAGATCGGCTAGACCCACAGTGGCTCTGCAAACTGAAGAACCTGGTAAACCAGTAACTACTTTGTCTTAAAAAGCTGGAAGCCTCAGAACAAGAAGGATGAGAGATACAGTCCAGTCCAAGGCTGAATGCCTGGAAGCTCCATAAAGAGTAGCATGAGTTCACATTCAAAGGATAAAGAAGCTATAGAGTCTGATGTAACGGGGAATGGCATCAAAAACACTCAAGAACCCAACTTGCATGAGTGGACAAGCGTCCCCCCCCCTTTTTTTTTCTTCCCTTTTCTGCTTTTTGTTTCATCCAGGCCCCCAAAGATACACTTAGAGTTTTATAATTTTCTAGGCATCTCAATCCAATCAAGTTGGCAACCAAGATCAACCATCACAGTATATTAACTGAATAATTGTATGAAGTACTAATTGTACAGCTTATTCAATCTACTGGTCACTACATAGATATAGATGAGTCATGAGTGATCATGTTGCTCCTTTCAAAATCTGTCCGTGATTGGTTATTGCCCATTTATAATTCAGCTTGAACTCTGAAAGCAAATTTTGTTGTGTACTTTATTTTCTCCTAGTAATAAACCCATGTATCAGTTACAGAAATGAAAAATTGAAATTAACTAATGAAGAAAATTCCAAAAATCAAACAGTCTTATCATTGGAAGTGAAAAGTCCAACATAAATGAAGTTATAAAAGCAATAGCTATTGATGAGTGTTGGCACTTTTCAGAAGTCAAACTTACCAACATGAATGGAGTGGTTGTGATTAAAAAATGAAGATGACTGGGCATGGTGACTCCTGTAATCAAAGCACTTGGAAGGCTGAGGCAGGAGGATTGCTATGAGTTTGAGGACAGCCTGGGCTACACAGTGCATTCAAAGGCCAGCCTGGACTACATAGCAAGATCCTGTTTCAAAAAGCCAAAAAAAATAAAAAAGAAAAAAAAGATGTCCCAGAGGATGTGACACTGCCAAGAAACTGCATTAGAGGAACTCTCAACTGTTGAATGACATTAAAAGTTTAAAATGCAAGCTGCAACCAGCCAGGAGAGACAAGCACCTTGAACCTCTGCAGCCGTTTCCGGGCCACGCCCACTGCACAGTGAGGTCCAGAGGCATCTTGCAGCCCACCCCCATCTGATGCTCTCTAAGCTGCTACCGGCCAGGAGAGACAAGCACCTTGAAGGTCCTCGGCCATCCCGGGACACGCCCACGGCATGGTGAGGTCCACTTAGCAAGGGGGCCTCCAACCCCCAGTCCCCCGCCCCCATGCACCAACTACCTTCTGGCTTTTCTGCTACCTGGTCCCACACTACAGAGGCACAGGAGATTATGAAGACCCTTGTTCTGAGCACCACAAGATAGAGCAGAAGTTAGTAACAGAAAGAGGACCTCTCAGGCTCCTCAATGAAAACTGAAGCGCAGCAGCAAAGTTAAAAAAATCTCTACAATAAAGGCACATCAGACCACTGTACTTGGTCTGCTACTGGCTTGCTGAGACTCATTGACTTGTATATGCACAGGGATTCCTACATTGCCTACTGTGACAGCAGAGACATACCC